TGGTGATAGCGCACATTCTTGTAGTACATCTTGTTTGAGGGTCTGCCGGCCTCCTTTTTTTTTTTGTTAGAACTAAAATGGGACAATGATCAATGTGCACCAGCCTAATCTTAACTAAGACACAATAATAGGAAAAGACATGTACAAAGAAAAAGGAATCCATGAATAAAGGTCTCCCCTAAACTTTTTGTTAAGATAGCATAATTCACCCCTTCAGTGAATCTAGAAATTTTAACTTGCATCATTAATGTTTGAATGCAAAACTAATGGTGGGAAGAAGAGCAGTTCATTTTTTAATGGCATAATGGGAAAGTTATTGATTAATGAAATTTTGATCCAATTAAATCTCGCTACTTCATAAACGATTATATAAGTTATTATGTACATATAGCACAATCGAATATTTTTCTTTCGAAATAATGTATGGATTTTATATTGGCCTGTCCAACTTAAAAACTTTTGTCTTATAATTTTTTAATTTTTTTTGTAATTCTATTGAACAGTTGACTCAATATTATCAAATGAACATATATAAACTTGGCATTTTAACATTTCAGAAAATAGCACAGTGGGTTGATTTCATTTTTGGTCACTGAACTTTGTCAATCAACTTTAATTTGTCTCATTCAAAATACTAAACTTCAATTTACCTCAAACTCTATTAGTCTCGTTACTAAACTTAATGTCACAATTCTTTTTGACATTAAAATTTGAGAGTAACTCTATTAGTCTCGTGTTTTGAAATTTGATGATTAACCTACCATACTCACACCTCTATTAAGCTCTAATTTCAAGATTTTGTAATTAGGTAGCATATTTACTTAAACGGAAGAGGGGATAGGATATATATAATATGCCGTTCTTTAAGAAAATGTTCAAATTGAGCTTTTATTACGCAGGGCATATTTTCCTAAGTAATTAGCATATTTATATGCTGAAGTAATTAGAATATTCATTCCAAACTTTTTTTATTTCCTCAAACTAATTATGAAACCTAGTGTTTGTTTTGACTTTGGTCACATCGTCTAAAATCATAGACGGCCGACCACATAGGTTCTCAGTATTGTAGGGGCACCGAAATTTTTTTATTATAAGTGTTTATCTATATTTGTATAGTAACATATTTAAAATGTTTTACTAATTTTAAAATTTAAAATTTTTGTTATTATGTTTAGTTAAAGGCACAATATTTATGAAAAAAGAGTAAAAAAATATATTACATTAATTCTTTTTAGTTTATCATATTATTGAAAAAAAAATAAAAATTCAACAAATCACTGCAAGAAGAGCGTAAATGCTCCGCATATATATAATCAAAAGTGGATTATATAAGCGGTTCGTCCATGAAATTATAAGCATGCTCGCACGTGGTCCCTAAGCAGTAAATTGTTAAATGCATAACTAAGCCCCTGTTTGGTACTCATTCTCTTTCTTATTATTATTTTTTTCTCTTTCTTGTTAAAAGAAAAATATTGAGAAATCTCTCCTTAATGTGCTTGGCCCTAGCTATATTCGTCCGAGTCAATTTTTTTTTTTTTAACCGTTTGAATTATCCTACAATTACTTCCGTTATGTTACCTGCTGGGTAATCACTATTATCGCATTCGCAAGTGTTCGGAAATATGTGCCACTTGCAGTCAAGTATTCCTTAAGAATTAAACTACTTGTACAATGAATTTGCACAATAATTTTGACAATGTGTGAGGTGTATAGATCATTGCCACTGAATTCAAAAACAATCTTTCAAATTAATGGACATAATGTCTGCCAACTCACACATTATCCACCTTATTGTCAAATTCATTGTACAAGTAGCATGATTCATTGATTTTAAACACAATCATCACATTACTATCNATTGTACAAGTAGCATAGTTCATTCCTTAATGAGCAATGCTACATTTTTGTGAGTTTTTTATTCACGCGGGCCCCGCGCACATGTGAAGGGGTGTAACATTTGCAGTAAGGAAAATTATGTACAAATAATTTTATCCTTCCTTCATGGTGTTAATCGGAAAATCTTTGGATGCATGCTGGAATATATTCATTTGATGGAACCCGGTTTGTATCTACTTTACTTTCTTCAATCTGACACAGAGAAATGGAAATGGAATGTCAACGTATGAGAAAACTTTATTAGCCCAATTCTTTCTAAAGTCTAACAATTATGGCCTGAATTATTTCTAAGGTCTTACAAATATGAGAAATCGAAGTAAGAAGAGTGGGTTTCCAAAAAGAATACACTATATAAATATTGAATAAGTAGTTGCAACTCATGACCGTGAATAAATTTTATACCTCCTTGACCTTTAATATAACAAGACGACATAAGGCAAACTCGATTCAAGCCATTGAGTCAATGTCACATTTTTGTCTGCTGTTAAATTTTCTGTAAGTGTCTTTCACAAGGATGAACCTGGTGATGTAACTGAAGAAAGAAAGAACAAACTTATGCAACCAATTCGAGTGAAAAAGCTAACTTATGGTTAACATGCAGCAGTGTCATTCAATAATTTAAAGGAATGCACGTATCATATATATATTTAGAATGTATTATATTATTGGAAATCTAGTTATCAAATAAATACTCCATCTTGGCTTGATCTATCGATAAAATGGATGGGCGCTTGTTTGGCTATGCTTGAATTATAAGTACTTTTGGTCAATTATACTTTTTTATTTAAATATTTTGTAGGATTTACAAGTACTATTTAGTTATGTGCCGCTCATTTCTATCCGTCTATATTTTACAATTTAAATTGATTATAAACACCTCTCCAAACAAGCTTAGATTCAAGATAGACATTTATAGCTAAAACCCTTGTTCGGTTTGTCTAAAAATAAAATGTTTTAGTAGATTTTGATCAATGCTAATGAAATGCGTGCTTGAAAAATTATGAGTTCCATAAAAATGCGGTTAAAAATAATTTTGAGGAAAAATAAGTTTTTAAAAATTAGGGCCAAACAGGGGCTAAGGCGATTGATTAAATGTATGCCAAATGTACATTTTCAAAGGGCTTGTGAGCAATAAAAACTATCAAAGTTGAATAATTCAACTAAAAGATGTGCTACAGGTACACAAGGGTGTACATATTATGGACACCCTTAGCCATCCCATTGGATGGAGTGCCGGACCCACCAACACTCTATCCAATGGAAGGGCACCGCCTTTGTGTACTTCTAGCATTTTTCTTCAAGTAATCGATTTCAAGAAATTAATCTTTATCTTACTTTGAAGAAATAAATATAAATGATGGACGACAGGGACAACAGATGTGGCTGTAGTTTAGTGGTAAGAATTCCACGTTGTGGCCGTGGAGACCTGGGCTCGAATCCCAGCAGCCACATTGTAACTTTTTCTTTTGCTTTTATTTTTAGGGGTCAGATTTTAAAATAGCCAAATGTAAGATACTATTTTGGTAATTCTCAGCATTTAAACAAGCAGTGAAACGACTCCGCTCCTCTCTCTCTCTCCCCCCCCCCAACTTTCCATAAATTCGATGTTAAAGATATAAGAGATGTGCTACAGGTACACAAGGGTGTACATAAGGGTGTCCATAATTGACACCCGGCTCCCTCCCATTGGAGGGAGTACCGGACCCACCAACACTCCATCCAATGGGAGGGCGCCGTCTTTGTGTACTTCTAGCATTTTTCTTCAAGTAATTGATTTCAAGAAATTAATCTTTATCTTACTATGAAGATATAAATGAAAATGGTGGACAAAAAGGACAACAGTTGTGGCTGTAGTTTAGTGGTAAGAATTCCACGTTGTGGCCGTGGAGACCTGGGCTCGAATCCCAGCAGCCACATTTAATCTCTTTCTTTTGCTTTTATTTTTAGGGGTCAGATTTTAAAATAGCCAAATGTAAGATACTATTTTGGTAATTCTCAGAATTTAAACAAGCAGACCAGTGAATCGACTCCGCTCCTCTCTCTCTCTCTCCCCCCCAAACGTATATCTATTGTATGTACTGTGTACTTTTAAATACACCCACAAACTAGCCGTTACAAACTCCTCAACTCTCTCTCCCCCCTCTTCTCTCTGTATATTATAAGCAACTTATTTTCTCTCAAACGAATCTAATAGATGTAAATGGCGATTTATATGGAATCTCTATCTCCTTCTTCCCTCAAACAGGTTTGTTTACTCTTTCATTTAATTAAACCCTTTAGTTAAAATTCTAATCAACTTCCACTCATTTCTTGTACCATTCTTGACTTTTTTACAGGGATCGCCAAGCTTGATGGGATCTTCTTCCCCAATCTTCAGTCCTTCTTCTGATAAGAGATTCTGGAGCACTCTACGCAGCAGGGTCGACTCGCTTCTCGAGAATCGGAAGCCTATAGATCAATTCTTGCCTGTTCAAATGGTTAGATATTAATTCTTAATTTTTAGACATTTTTTTCTCCGATTTGATGACGGATTTTTATGGGTTTTGACAAAATTGTGTAGAATGACGAAGCAATGAAGCGGCAAAAGAGACTGAAGGAGGACTCAATGCTTTTGCTAAGAGGGTTTGACTCTGTTTCTCAGTCTCTTTCTCAGCTTTCTCACAATCTCGAGAATGCTCTTCAGGTGATTAAAGATCAGTATCTTAAACTCTCACTTTGAAGTTTTTGGTTTTAGCTAACAATTACTCTGTTTCTCAGGGAGCTAAAGATCTTGCTAGACCTCCCACATTGACTGAAATGCTTCATGCCACACTGGAAAAAGCCAGAAGTGAAGAATACAAATCGGAAAATGAAAATAAAGACGAAGAGGAAGCGGCAAAAGAGAGTGAAGAAATCAAGATAGGATCCAAAAGGAAGTTAGATTCTCCAGAATGTACTCAAAATCAAACAGAGGATTCCCAAAAGGAAAATGCAGAGAGCCCAAAAGAATTGGGGCAGCTCAAGAAAGCCAAAAATGTTAGAATCTTTTACTTTTGATTATAAATGAAGATAATTGATTATTATAAGATATTTGCATTCACAGATTGACATTTTGTTTAAAGCTGGCAATATCGATGGCAACAAAAGCGGCTGGCTTGGCGAGAGAATTGAAAATGATCAAGTCAGATTTAAGGTTTATGCAAGAAAGATGCAGTCTTTTAGAGGAAGAGAACAGGAAACTTCGTGATGGATTTGGTAAAGGCATCCAGCCGGAGGAAGATGATTTGGTAATTATTATTTACTCTCTTTTAATTCCTTCTCATTTTCTTTCATAAGAACTGAAAACGGTTGTTCAAAAATGTGAATATTTTGATTTGGGAATTATTAGTGTGGTGTGGGAATAATTTTTATCACTGTCATCAGTTCATTGGTAGACCTAGAGACCAACTGCTAATGAATCTCGCCATTTGGATTTACAACTTTAATGGCGACTTATGGATTTTATGTATATTCTTAGCACAAATGTTCTATATCGTACTCAAACAGACAACTATTATTTAAATGTCCGATATGGATAGAAATGATCACACGTCCCTCGTTCATTCGAACTTCTTTGCAGGTAAGGCTTCAATTGGAGGCACTTCTTGCTGAGAAATCCAGATTAGCAAATGAAAATGCAAACTTGAAAAGGGAAAACGGATGCCTTAACCAACTTGTGGAGTACCATCAGCTCACTTCACATGATCTCTCTGCATCTTATGAGAATTTAATTAGGGGAATGTGCTTAGATTTTTCATCTCCTGCAGAGGAGGATGATGATACTAATGGAGATTGCACAGAACCAAGAACTGATAAATTAGGTGTCTCCAAGTCATTGAATGAATGCTATGATGAAGATCTGTAACATTAATAATACTTTTTTTTTTCCCTCGAGGTTTCTTTTCTTCCCAGACCTGTAATATTAATATATATATATTTTTTTGGTAATTATGTTAATCCGTATCAAAAACATGTCTCCTAATCATTGAATGGATGATACGAATAAAGCGCAAGAGCAAGTTATGCCCTTTTATTATATGTTTCTAATAAAGTAATGTTATTCAGTGTTGCTAGTTTCGAATATAAGTCTAGGTGACAACCGAATGTTATTAAATGATGGGTTCACTTAAATACAATATCAAGTGATTAATTTAAATGAACCTACCGAGTGTGGTCACCTAAACTGGTGTTTTAATACCACTGGTATTAGATAATATTATTCTTTTCGATATATTTATTTATTTATTTGATGGCTTTATGTCAATCAATATGAGAACCTTGTTCTGAAAGTTTTTCTTTTCAACAAGAATCAACGAATAATTGAATGAATTCTACGACGAAGACCAAGAGTAAAAGCATATATGCACTTTTGTTAGTATCCGAGGTTATATTTTCAGATAAATTTTTTATTCTAACTTCAATGATCATATAATTTGTGCCAAAAATTGAGTGCATGCTGTGATCTGTTTCAGGCAATGGTGGTGAGTTAATTAATGGTACCAATTCAAATGTTTCTCTTGAACTCTTTGATGTTGAACATAAAATTTCCGAACAAGTCCAGTGTCAGTGCCAGAGATTTGATCTAATAAACCTAAAATATAAGGAACGTGTTGAACATATAGGACTCGGTTATATATTGTAAATTCATGTATATGGATCGTGCTACTTGTACAACCAAAATTGTCAACCTCGGTTGTACAAATGGTGTTTCCCAACTGAAATTTCCATTAAAGTATAAAACTACTCCAGTATTTTCAAATTATCACCTTATTTAGATCTTACACGTAAAGTTTAGAAAATGATAATATACAGTATTGAAAATTAAGATATGATCTTTGGATTTTTATGTTAGGATTGTTGAAACCATGTTATGCGGAGACCATTGAGATTTATGGCGCAATATGAAGTAATAATTACATGTACCAAGAACAAGATTTAAAGCAAAGAAGAACAAAGGAGAACAAAACAGAATTGCAGAGGAACAATGTTTTTACTCACAACTAATGGAGAGAAATAATACAACTTCAACAATATTGCTTCACATAAACTGAATGAAAGAGCCCATATTTATAGTACTCGAAAAAACTAAAAACCCTCAACAAGGATGGAAACTAGGTTAAAAAATCGCTCGGTGCCCACAGATTGTACTATGCGACCGCATAGTAGTCCCCTATGCAGTAGCATAGAAGGGAAAATTTAGGCACCCAATTTCCTGTAATACCCTATGCGGTCACATAGGGTAGTTGGATCTTGGATGCGGCCGCATAGGTCACGCCGACAGCAATCGTTTTTGTTTTTTTTTTTTTTTCCTTTTTCGATTCAACTACTTCAAGCCCAATATACAAGACGGATTACACGCGAAACCTTAAACCTAATTTGGGGCACAAACCTAATAATCTTCACCTTCACCGAAATTCTGGTGCAACTAATGAAACCCCAAAAATTTCTCCACTTGGAAAAATAAGTCTAATTGTATCAGAATAAATCAATCTCTTCATTTAGTACCAAAACTCTCCACCCCACGGAAATCATTACCTTTTCCCAGTATCCACAAGCGACATCCAAACCCAACCTCGGGTTCCCAAAATTCCAACGAGGAATTCAACAAATACCAAATGGGGTCGACACACACCCTGGAGCAAAATCCATATTAAATGCTTTGACTAGGCTCCTTGCTAGAACTGACACCTTCAAACACTTCGAAAGCATGATCACAAACATCTGAACCGGTGCCTATGCTCCATGAGTCATTCCCTAACAATTGAACACAATGGAACCGCATAAACTAGTGGCAAAGCGGATTTATCCATATCACCAAAATCTCTCTTGAGTAGTGTTCCCCAATAACTTAAAGCCCAACACAAAGTACTGTACCAAACTGTATGTCCACTACGGTACTAAAAATGTCTAGATGTTTCTTCCCTGATTCTACACGCCCCTACAGGATATACAGCTGAGACCTCTTCCGTCCTTCCAGCACAGCACGATGACCCCTTCGGACCTTCAAGACTCCGCCTCTACTGGAGAATGTGTACCCATTCGAATCTAGGGTACTCAGTGAGATGAGTTTTTTCTTAAGTTTGGAACATGTCGAACCTGGCCAAGAGCTCGCACTATCCCATCCAATAACCTCAATTTAACCCGATCGTTTCCAACAACCCTACAAGATTGGTTCTTTCCCATGACAACTCCACCTTGCTTCACTGTTTCATATGTTTCAAATTAGGCCTTATTGGGATACATATGGGACGAACAGGCTGAATCCAGAAGTCATTCCTTGTCAAGCTTAGATGCCATGTCAAATACGGTCAACACCACATCACATCTCCGCCATCTGAAAAATTCTTGGCAACATTTGTCTCGTCTTAATGATAAGATTGCTTCCCACAATTTGTGGATAAATTATATTTATCGTGCATCTTGTTGCAATCCTTCTTGATAGGTCCTTTCTTCCTTAGAAGCAAACCTAATTGTTGAAGTTCACCTTCGACCTATCCCTTTGTCGATCACCGTACGAAACAAGAGATTCCTCATATTTAGCTCCAACGATATGCTTCATCTTCTCCTTTGAAAATAAAGCATCGTAAACATTGTCAATGGTGATTATGTCACGACTGTACAAAATTGTGTTCCTAAAAGACGAATACGAAGCGGATAGTGAGCACAATAGGATCAAGGCCAGATCCTCTTCATCATACTTGACTTCTAATGTTTACAGATCAGAAATGATTTTCTTGAACAAGCTAGATGGTCCTCCAAAGAACTCCCTTCTGCCATGCGATGAGAATAAAGTCCAAACTTCAAATACAACTTGCTCCTCAATGTCTTCGTCATGCACAGTTGCTCCAATCTTAACTACAATGCAGCAGTTGATTTTTTCTTAACCACCTCTTGAAGAATATTGTTAGAAAGATGAAGATGTATCATAGAAAGCGCCTTCCGTTGCTTCTCCTCTGTTGTCTCAGTTGTTGGTATTTTGTCAAAACCCAACAAAACATCATCCAAATCCATCTGCACCAGAATTGCTCTCACCTTTACTTACTACAGAGAAAATCTTGTATTGCGATCCAAAAGCAGAATGTCATACTTCATGGTAGTCATCTGAACAAGAAATCTCAAATAAATTCATCAACCTATAGCTTTGATACCACTTGTTAGGATCATTAAAACCAATGAAATTTATAGCTCAATATGAACAGATTTAAAGTAAAGAAGAACAAAAGAAAACGAAAGAGAATTGCAGAGGAACGATGTTTTTATTCACAACTAATGGAGAGAAATAATACAACTTCAACAATATTGCTTCACATAAACTGAATGGAAGAGCCCATATTTATAGTACTCGAAAAAACCCTAAAAAACCCAAAACGAGTATGGAAACTAGGTTAAAAAAACGTAAATAGAAAAAATCGTGCGATGCCCAGAAATTGAACTATGCGACGGTATAGTAGTCGGACATATTAGGCACCCAATATTTTGTAATGCCCTATGCGGTCGCATAGGGTAGTTGGATGCGACATTAAAACCAATGAAATTTATAGCGCAATATGAAGTAATAATCCCACACACCAAGAACAAGATTTAAAGTAAAGAAGAACAAAAGAAAACGAAAGAGAATTGCAGAGGAACGATGTTTTTATTCACAACTAATGGAGAGAAATAATACAACTTCAACAATATTGCTTTACATAAACTGAATGGAAGAGGCCGTATTTATAGTACTCGAAAAACCCTAAAAAACCCAAAATGAGTATGGAAACTAGGTTAAAAAAACGTAAATAGAAAAAATCGCGCGATGCCCAGAAATTGAACTATGCGACCGTATAGTAGTCGGACATATTAGGCACCCAATATTTTGTAATGCCCTATGCGGTCGCATAGGGTAGTTGGATGCGACCGCATAGGTCACGCAGCCAACACTCGTTTATTCTTTCCTTTTTCGATTCAACTACAAGCCAATATACAAGACGCGTTACACATGAAACCCTAACCCTAATTTGGGGCATAAACCTAACATTTTTCACTTCTTGTCTTCAATTTGATGTTACTGGTTGTAGTGATCCCACGCCCCTGTTGCAATTTTTCCATAAAAAACGCATGATTAATGATTCCCATGTTACAAAGGATTTAAAGCATCTCCAATAAACTCTCCAAATACAAAATATTCTTTATTTTAAAGAGATAATCCTTAAAAAAAAGTTCCAAGATTTTAAAAATAAAAAGTGGATTTGACTCTCCAAATTTAGAGAGTCAAACTCACTGTTTATTCTTAATGTACAATGATTGCATTTTTTAATAAGTCACAGATTTCAATACTTTACCCCTATTTGTCATCCTTTAAAATTTTAAATTGTTTGCACAGTACCGTTATACACTACACATTCACACAATAAAGTATTCTATACACAAACCAATAAAGTTTCCTTACTTTTAAACAACACATTCTCCATCAATATAATATTCTATAATACATTATAAGAAATTACTGGCTCTCAAACAGAGCATTTATATGTTAAATAATTCATAACCATATTTGAATCCATTGTCCCTTACATATAAAAGATTATGTTAATTTAAAATTAAAGGAGAAATCAATAAATATTTTTTGAGAAAAATAAAATAAAGAGACAAAATAGAGAACATTGTTAGAGTATATAAAATTTTTGATTATCTAAAGTTAAAGGTGGTCTCTATAATGCATAAGATACTCTTTATAAATAAATGGGAAAAATTCACTTTCCCTACTTTATCTTT